TTTTTGAGATGAAAGTTAATTAGATACAGGTCTATAGTTGGCTAGGATTCCTGAGTCAAGGTTATGTTTGTCAAGTAAAGGATTAATTACAGCAACCTTAAAGCGCTGTGGTATGTGACCATTATTAGAGACAAATTAAGTAGATCCAAGATGCGATTATTAATGAAGGGAATACGTCTTGAACCAGTCTGGTTGGGATGGGATCTAGCAGACATGTGGACGGTTTGGATGAGGTTATTATTTTTGACAATTTGGAGAGGTCAACAGGACAAAAACAGTCCAAACATAAATCAGGTTCTAGTGAAATTTTTCAAGTTGAATCAACAGAGAGAGGATTTTTCATTAGACTAGCGATGGTACTGAAAAGGAACCTGGGGTTATTTTTATTCCCATCAAAGATGAATAATAAGTTCTAGCTTTATGGAGCGCTTTTTTATACGTTCAGACATAAACATTTACTGTACGTATTTAATTAAAAGTTTAAAAAAGAAATTTCTATGGACATATCTCGTTTTACAACGTGGACGCCCGTGGCTTGTACACAAGCACGGCCTATATATGTACAAAACGCATTTATTTTGTGGGCGTGGCTTGTATTCAGGTGCACTCGATAGTCAGGAAATTACGGTATTTCTTCTAACAGTATCAAACAGTATAGATGTAATGTTTTAAATTCATAAAAGTTTTATTAAATTGAGCATATGTTAAAGCTTTACATGTTGTGTAGGTTTGAGACTGATTTTCCAACTTGAGTTACATTCATGACCTGATGAAACCAATTTAAACTATGATTTACGCAGAGGGACATTTGTTTACGAACACTTGTTACTGAACTTGTTTTAATTTTATTTTTTTTAAGTTGAAGAGCCACTGGATACAAAGGTGATTCATCCATGCCCAAACACGTACAAAAATAAGAAACGGAGTTAAATAAAACCTAAATAACTTTGAGGCTGTGGACATAAAGGGAGTTTTGGATGAACTTCGTGAAATTACACACGGCTCATAAACGAGCAAATAATCTCATATCCTCAAATGAAAGAGAATAAAATCTCAATCTACTAGTGCCTAAATTAGGCTCAAAATCTGTAAAACTGATTTACAGACATTTTTATTAGCTGTGGCGGCCATCTTGAACTGGATTCACTCCAAAAGTCAATCGCTGTGCATCCAAAGATTATTTTCTGAGAGTTTCAAGAAAATACGTCCACTGGTTCATGAGATATTTAACTAACAGACACAGGCAATTACATGATCACCTGCCGAGGAGACGTTTTTGCCTGTTTTTTCTGTAATTTAATTTCTCGCGACCTTTCGTTCTCCCAAGTTTTAATGTCTTTTCAGCGTAATTCAAATAATTAGTCGAACTAATGAAGATTTGTCTTTCAGGGGAGTTTTAATGTTCTCTGCTTCGTCTCCTGCAGACTACGAGAAGATATTCCTCCTC